GAAGCCGTGCGCGGACGCACGTCCGGCGCCGGCGGAAGTGAGCTCCGCAGGCCAGCTGAGCGCCACCTGACGACGCCGGCGCTTCCTCCGGCCTCGGCCGCGGACCGGACCCGGACCCGGGCCGGACTGGCCGCCGGACGTCCGCCCGTGCTCTGCCGACCCGCCGCGCGGGGGCGCGGGGCGCGCTCAGAAGGCGCCGGCCGAGCGGGACGGCGGCGACTCGCTGCGTTGCCGCGGTGCAGTGGCGCGCAATAGGCAAGATGACGCTCGGTCGGTGCTGTTAGCAGCGTTGTGACTTGAATGTTAGATGAATGCTTCGCTATGTATTTCCTGGGCATGTGGTCTGCAGGTGGGAACTGTGGCCTCAGCACTGCAGCTTGGAAACTTGCAAAAGGTCCGGGCATGCCTCCAAACGTTTGAATCATAATCGGGTGTGCTTTTAAAGCTTGATCTGTGTACGTCGCAGTTGTGATTCTGACGATGTGGGTATTGCGAGTGGTCGTTCTCGATTAGCGGTTTTGGAATGCTTCGCGCCGAATCCCCGAAGTTCATCATCCCAAAGTGTTGGGACTTGAGACATCGCCGCGCTGCAGTAACGGTCCTTGCGTTGGGAGCGTTCACACGGCTGTCTTTTTACAAACCCATCAGGATCGACCGAAGATAATTTCGTTGCCGTTTTTGTAAAAATGAGCTATCTTTCAAATCTTAATCCCACGCCTTCCGCGGTGTGCCCGATCCTTTCCAGCACTGGGCATGGCGCTGCTACAGCTGCCCCCCCCCCCCCCCTCCGCCCCCCGTCCCCGTCATGCACTGGAGTGGCCGGACAGCTGGGCCGCGTCCGCCGTCGGTCTCCAGCTGTGGTCGTAGATACAGCAGGCCGGGCCACAGCAGCCGGCCACTGAACCAGGGCTCATCGACCACGCCGGCGAACCCGCTGCGGGAGCGGCTCGCCGGCGGCCGGACCCGCCGCCCGCCCGGCGCCGCCTGCGGGTGCTGTCCGGCGAACGAGACTTGGTGCGATTTCTCTCGGCGGAGCCGATGCCCATGCTGTTGCCCCAGAGGAGCGGCTTCAGACGGCGAGCGGGCCGGTCGCGGGCCCGGCTCGCGGCGTGCGGCCGCTGCTCCGACCGCCGCTCATGGCCGCCGTTCAGGCCGCTGCTCCGGCCGCCGCTCCGGCCGCCGCTCCGGCTCGGCCGCTGCTCCGGCCGCCGCTCCGGCCGCCGCTCAGCCGCTGCTCAGGCCGCTGCTCAGGCCGCCGCTCCGGCCGCCGCCCAGGCCGCTGCTCAGGCCGCTGCTCAGGCCGCTGCTCAGGCCTCTGCTCAGGCCGCTGTTTAGGCCGCTGTTCAGGCTCGCTGTTCAGGCCGCTGTTCCGGCCGCTGCTCCGGCCGCTGAGAGCGACGTGACCGGTGTTCGCCGCTGGGAAGACAGACGGGCGCGGTCGGCGCGGGCCGCCGCGGCGGCGCCGCCGACTTTGTGACGTCAGGGCCGCCGTATCGGCGGGCTGGCTGCGCCCCACCTGCTGGCGGCCGTGCCGCGGCCCTGCTGTCGAACCGGGCACGCGCCGGCCGGCGGGGCAGCAGCCGTGTGGGGAGCGCGTGGACCGCGGGCGGGCCAGGGGAACGGCCCGGTGCGGTGAGCTCAATACCCCGCCCGAGCGCAGGACCGTCACATGGTCCGCTTAGGAACGACGCTGCCACTGAGCACCGGCCGAGCGAGGCGCCCTGTGCCGCGGCATACCGGCCATGACTCGATGTGGGGAGCGTTAGGCTACGGACACTGGGCAGTGCCGTGTCATGGTGTAACTGTGGGCAGGCCTGCGACAGCTGGCTGGCCTGGCAGGGGGTAGCCCGGGTCAACGTCCCGTACGGGGTGTTGTGAAACATCCCCATAGCCACGCCACGAACAAACAGAGCCATCTCTAGACCATCGACGGCTGGCGGCGGTGTCGTTGATCGCCGTATTATTCGGGTGTAACCGATCACGTGCCGCGTCGTCCGGAGCTGTGACCAGCGTGGGGCGGCGCCGCCTCCTCAGCCACGGCCCGGACAGCGGCCCGCAGCGGTGCCGCCGGCCGTCCCGGTGACCACACCCGTATCGATCGGTGCTCCCACGCCGGGCGGCGGGCCATTGCACTGCACCGAGGGCGCGAGAGCAGCCGAGGCGCCGTCACCCGTGGCGTGTCCCCAGGCGCGTCCCGAGGCGGCGGAAGCACCGTCAATGGGCCAAGAACGGCCAACCGGGCGTTCTCTGTTCCCTGTGTTCTGTCATTCGCAGGTGGGATTACGGGGGCGTTCGCGCGGCACCGGAAAGTTCCTCCTGGGGCCTTGCAATTTCCGTCCTTGCACTCCTATCGGCTCACGATCTCGACCAGTCGTCAGTGCTCACGCGGCAACTGGGCCGACCCGTGACGTGGAAGCGGCAGCGCGCCGCCGATCGGAAACACGTGGGCCGCCGCACCGGCCGTGTTATGGCGTGCGTGTTATTGATGGCGGCAGGCGCACTAAATAAGACCCGCTCGTTTGGCTCCTCTCGTGCTCCGTCAGTGTCGGCTGCGCCGTTGTGCATCGGCTGGCCCCGGCTTTGCGGTTCTTTGCGGCCTGCGCGACACGAACACGCTGCACGGGCGGCCCCGTCTTTGTTTCGCCACCGCGTGATCGCGTTTCCCCGGGCCGCGTCGTCCACCAGTCGCGCTCTCCGTGCTCTGAATGCTGAGAAGCGTCCGGGCCTCTGGGGAACTGTCGCGGGTTGCGTCAGCCGCGGACAGGATGCACGCCGCGGTTTGCACGCGGTCCGGACTCCGACCGCGCCGCCGCCGGCTGCGTCGGTGAGCGACGCTGCGGCTGAGGAGCGGCCGCGCTGGGAACCCGACGCTGGATGCCGCTGCCCACCGAACCCGCCGCCGAATGGTCCGCGGGAGACGGTGACGTGCGCGAGAGCCGTCGGCGGCAGACGAGCGGGCTCCGCTTCCCACGGCGGCCGGATGAACCGTGAACGGTGCCGACTGCGGGCAGACGGGCAGTTAGCGTGTGCGGGCGGGCCGACGCCCGAACGGTGCCGTCTGCGGGCCGGCCGCCGCCGCCGTGAGTCACGGGGCTGCCGGCTGGCCGGGCGGCCGGCCGGTGACGCGGCCCGGCTTCCGTCGGTCGGCGTCCCCGCTGTCAGGCGGCGCCGGCCCGGCCAGCCGGACACGATGGATGGCGGCGGGGGACGGGGCGAGCGCCGCGCGGCCGGCACCTGGCGGACCGGCCGCCGGCCGGCTGGCATGTCAGGCAGCCACTTGGCCCAGCGCTCTGTCATAACCGAGCGCTCGGGATTCCCTCAAAACGCGTGTGGGTCATCTGCGCACCGCCGCCTGTCGAGAAGCAGGCGATCTGCCGCGTCTTTGAGGACGCGTTCACCACCCGTCAGCAGCCGGGGCGTGTGGCGGCGGCGCGGGCGGAGCACGCAGCCGGGCGGAGGCGGCCCGACCGGCCATCGATCGGTCACGCGCCGGAGTGGGGCGCGGTCAGCGGGTGGCGCACGCCGCCCGCCGCCCGGTCACCGCTCCGCGCGCCGCCGGCCCGGCCCATGCACGGCTCAGCTGGGCGGCACCGAGGCCGCTGGGGCCGGGCGCCGGTCCCGCGGCAACCACTCCGCCAAGACAGATCTCGGCCAGTGTGCACATCGTCGAGCACGATGGTGGCATTGGCTCCGGGTGTGTCCCGAAATACACACACAGCGCCGGAGTCGCTCGGTGAAGAGTCTCGGCGCGCCGGTATTCCTGTATTATTGAGCCGGCTTTGCTCGCTGCGCTGCTGGATTGCCTCCTCGTCTTTCTCCAGTGCGGACCGCTGCGTCGTCGGCTGTGGCGGGCTGGCGTCCGTCCCAAACACGCCGCTGTGTACGGGCCTGTGTGCTCGCTGTTGCGTCTCTTCCCGCCACTGTAAACGACGTTCGTCGGATTGTAAACGGCCGGCGCTATTTCTGTCGCCGACGCGGGGGTGGGGCCGGTGTCTCGTCTCCGTTATCACGCCGCCCGACCTGGTGGCGCCCTCACCTGGTGGGGCAACGCCCCGGCCGGTCGACTGAGCTGCAGACTGGCGTCCGTAAGGGACAACTGACGTCAATAATCGGCTGACGTTACCAGAGACCAGTTGATGTCACTAGGGACCGACTGATGCCCACTAGGACGGACTTACGACTGACGGCCTGGGAGATAAACTGGCGTCCCCCGTGATTGACTGACGTCCCCTGGAACCAGCTGACGTACCCGGGGGACCAGCTGACGTCTCCGGGATCAACTAACGCCCCCGGGGACCAACTGGCATCCCCTGGGATCGACTGACGTCCCCCGGGACCCGCTGACGTCCCCCGGGACCCGCTGACGTCCCCCGGGACCCGCTGACGTCCCCCGGGACCCGCTGACGTCCCCCAGGATGGACTGATATGGGCCAAGACCCACTGACGTCTATAGCAAGGGCTAACGTCAGAGATCACAGATCAACTTCTACTCAACTCCGGAGAACAGGGATCAGCTTCTACTCAACTCCGGAAAACAGAGATCAACTTATATTTCCAAGAATCAGCTGGCGGCTCCGTTAGGCTCAGGTTATGTCAGGCCGAGGCTCGGACATCGTACGGATGTCATCGCGGTGTTCCAGTTAATGCCGCTAGCGTCTGACGAGCACCCCCTGGGACCTATCACTGTCTTCCCCAGGATCCAGCTGGCGTCCCACCGAGGGCTGCGTTTGGTCAGCTGACGTTGGCAGCGGGGGAGCCGAATTGGCCCGACTGACGGCCCGAACACGCTCCGGCCGCGTGAGGCCACGCGCCACCAGTCATGGGCCTGCCGAACCCCCTGGCGCTCCCTCCCCGCAGGGCTGCCTCCCCTTCGGCACCGCATGCCAGCGGCCGGCGTCAGTCGTGTCGGCAATGTTTTGTCCCGATCGGATGCATGGACGGCACGCGTCTGAAGCGGCCAGGGTCATGGAGAGGACCACTTACTGCAGCCGGCCGTGGAAATGGAAAAGTCGCCCGGCATCCGTGTGGTACGGGGTAATGATATCATTCTTGCGACCTGAGCTGTAGTTGCCGAAGACAGGGACAAACTCGGCTTTATCAAAAATGTTTCAAGTCCTGTCTCGTCTAATAATTCACGATCATAGGCACTTTGAATTCACTCTGTGTAATTATCGTGGTAGTCAGAACTACTTGTTCTGCCACGCTCATTTAATTAATTAGCCGAATCGAGCACTTCCCAAGCCACGTGCGATGGTGAGGGTGATAACTCAAGCATTGTGGCATAATTTGGACACCAGCTGTGGAATGTTACGAACTACCACTTTGAAACATTGTAGACTATCGTTGACTGGAAATAACTCGTGTTGATTATGTTGACTTGATTGATTGACTATGATTCTTTTGACTTGATGACGTATCAATGACTTGTGTTGATTAGGAATCGTCCTTCGGTTGCCCCAGTTTATGCCTGCATCAAACGTCGGCCTCGTCTGTGTTAGCAATCTGTGATTACGCCTGAAAACCCGCATCCGTCCTACAGTTAACGCTTCAGTGACGTTCAAGTATGCTTTGGCTCAGTACGTCACGGGTGTCTGGGCTATCCGGGGTTCCGGTTCGTCGCTACCCGCAAACTTCCAGTGGTTCGGCTTTAACAATGAAGGCCGCTTGATTGCCTTTCAGTGAGGCTCACAGCTCCTGGATGAACTGGCCCACGTTAGTGGTAGGTTGCCGTTTTGCGTATCCCTAACGCCGCAGATCGTAGGAGCGTACCAGACGGCCGGCTGGGTCGGAGGTGGGCACGGTTTGACCTTCGGAGAGTGCGGTCTGACCTGCGGATGGCCCGGTCTGACCTGCGTGGGGCACGGTCTGACCTGCGGAGGGCGCGATCTGACCTGCGGAGGGCCCAGTCTGACCTGCGGAGGGCGCCGATCTGACCTGCGGAGGGCCCGGTCTGACATGCGGAGGGCCCGGTCTGACCTGCGGGGGCCCGATCTGACCTGCGGAGGGCCCGGTCTGACCTGCGTAGGGCCCGGTCTGACATGCGGACGGCCCGGTCTGACCTGCGGGGGCCCGATCGGACCTTTGGAGAGCGCGGTCTGACTTGCGTAGGGCGCGGTCCGACCTGCGGAGGGCGCGGTCTGACATGCGGAGGGGCATCAGTCAGTGGCGCGCCGCCTGCCGTGCCGGTCTCCGTCTCCGGCGCGTGGCGGGGTGACGGTCGGGGGGCGCCTCTCGGTCTGGCGCCTGCCAGCGGCCGGTTCCCCCGCCGGAGGGGACGCCGCCCGAGCCGCGTCACTCGGCCGGCGCCAATCGATGGTGGCGGGTCGCCCCTCTCCCGGAGGGGCCTCCTGGACCCCGCCAAGGCCAGCGGGGGAGCGAGGCAGGCGGCGCCGAAATCGATCGACAACGCTCCTTCACGCCGCCCCCGCTCCCCTGCCGCCGCGCCGCCGGATGACTGGTGGCACCAGGTAGACGGGCATGGCGGCCCTTGAACAACACTGCAGGGCGGCTGCAGCCACAGCTGGCACGATCACGGCGGCTCTATCTGTCAAAGGACAGCTGGCTGCCCCAGCGCTGTCCCGGTGGGACATCACTGGGGCAGCGGTCCTCGTCCTCAGCAGGATGGCTGTGGTCACGGCCGTACTAGCACAGCGGTCCCCGTGCTGCGCAGGATGCCTTGCGACCTCGAGTGTATCTACTGACAAAGCTGTCCCGGACCGCTGCAGGACGGGCTAGAGTGGTTCTACCGGGTGAAAATGTCCCTGTCCACCAAATCGGAACGCCTGTTACCCAGATGCCCTGGCGATCCCGTGTACCGACGTGGCCGTCCCCTGCACCGCTACCGGCGTTGTCCAGTCCAGCTCAGGCGCGCCGTCTGTGCGCCGTCTCCGTGCTCACAGTCGGGGCGTCGCCGTGAGCTGTCGG